ACCTCTGTGCTTGCCAACAAGGGTTTCTGCACCAAGTACTAAGTCATGTTTTGCTTGGGGATCAAATACTTATTTCACTCACTGAAATGCAAATCAATTTCTAACCTTTATATAATGTGTTTTTTCTGGATTTTTCGGTTGGTATTCTGTCTCTATACGTTAAAATAAACCTACCATAAAAATTACAGACCCTTCATTTCTTTGTAAGTGGGCAAACTTACAAAATCAGCAGGGGATCAAATAAATATTTCCCCACTGTATTCAGAGTATTGTGACTCATGCTGCACTAGACTCTTGTCCAATCAAAAGCTCTCTAGAATAAGATCGTCACTCCTAAATATTAATAGCTGTTTTCAGTAGAAGATAACAAGCTTACTCTATTTCTACTCCTTGTCTTTACCTGGATCTTCAGCATCTGTTGAACCTCCGTACTCCTCCTCTTCCTTAATCGGCTGCTTTTTTGGGGTCGTCTGCCTCTTTTCTGGTGTTTTCTAGGGAAGCATGAGAAAATCAATGCTAATGCATTAATGTCACTCATGTGTTTCCTGCTTGAGACGATGACGCGTGACAGCTCTTTTCATTCACAAATGAAGACTTTGATGGGAAGACAGTCGGTTTTGCGTGTTTCTTGAGACGTCATTCCTAAAACATATACGACAGACAAAGCAAGTACCGCTTTCTGCGTCTCCTCCTCGCTCTCATCCTCTTCTGCCTCACTCTCTGAACTGGACTCGGCTCCACTCATGAGATACCTGGAAAAACAACGAGAAACAGAGATTGAGTTTAACTGGAACTGGATGGGAATGTCTGAACATGGAGTCCAGGAGCTGAAATAAGTCTGACGGCTTTGATGGCGATTCCAGGAACAGGATTAAGACTGCAAACACTCATGAAGAATCACACACATACATATGTGACCCTGGAGCACAAAAGCAGTGTTAAGTCGCTGGGGTATATTTGTAGCAATAGCCAACAATACATTGTATGGGTCAAAATGATCCATTTTTCTTTTACGCCAAAATTTAGGCCATTATAGACATTTTTCTTTATGTACCTTTACATTTTGCACATTTGCTCTATTAAACAATGAAAATATATATATATATATATATATATATATATATTGTTTGTCATAATTTCATCCTTGAGTTGTTATAAATCTATGGAGGCTTATTTCTGCCAAGCAAAAAAAAAAATTATAATAATAATTATATATATATATATAAATCATATCTCATAATTGCAATTAATAATTGTTAAATGTCAATTCTGAGAAAAAAAGGTCAGAATTGTGAGATGTTTATATCATGCAATTCTGATTTTTTTCTCAGAATTGTGATTTATATCTCACAGTTACCAATTGACATATAAACTCAATTCTGAGTAAAAAAAGTCACAGTTGTGAGTTATAAACTATTAAAAAAAAAAATTCAGATGTAAACTCAAATTCTGACCTTTTTTTCTCAGAATTTCCTCAAAGATGCAATTCGGAGAATAAAGTCAGTTGCAAGATAAAAAGTCGCAACTACCTATTTATATTTTGTGGTGAAGTTTATATCTTGCAATTCAGACTTTTTCTCAGACTTACAAGATTATAATATAAAGTCGAGTTTGCACCTCACAGTTAATAACCTTTATATATTGCAATTGAGTTATTAACTGTGAGATGCAAACTCAGAATTCTGAGAAAAAAAAAATTGAAATGCAAAATAAAGTCGCAACTACCTTTTTTATATTTTTGGTGGAGGAAATCAGCTTCTATATAAATCTGCATGACTTACGGTTATATATATATATAAAAAAAAAAAAAAACGAAAGGAGATATTTGCAGAATGTCAAGAATGTTCTTTTACCTTTAAAATAATGGGGATTTGGGCCTTAAATAAATGCAAATGTTGCGTTTCATTGAAAAAAGGAAATGTTTTTAAATGTTTTAGGTGAGATATTCTTTTAAAATGTGCATGAAAAACGCAATTACTCAATGTCTGCTTTTATCAAGCAGAAGTATTTTTGGGAATAACAGAAAAGTGAAAACACACTTCCACTGCTGAAAAACGAGTTCGGAGGTTCTGCAAGGACACACACCTGAGCTGATCCGTGTGTGTGAGAGTGCGTGTGTGTGAGTGGGTGTGTGAGTGTGAGTGTGATTGCGTGTGAGTGTGTGTGTGTGTGTGTGTGTGA